CCATATTAGACACAGAACCTGCACACTGAACACTGAGAGCCAGCGAATCCTTAACAGCTAACTCATCAGACCGTTTGGAAAGTAGTCTGTTATCTTTGGGAGTGAGAAGGTTCCTGGCCACCACAGCAGCGGTCATATCATTCTTCATCACGGAATCCCCCAACGGTAAGAGGACCAGTAGGGGAGACGAAGGATGGGCGCCATATGTTGTCTGGAGAAGGCGGGGCTGCCTCTTCAACAAGGTTCAAGTCAAAACGACGGTCGGAGGGGCCAGACATTTTCAAAGGTGTTGAAGAGAGAAGAGGTCGGACAAATCAAGATCTTAGAAGTGCAAGAATGAAGCTTCTACTGGTGGAGATTCAAGTGTGCTTTGGAACTTAATGCCAGCCCCTATAAAAATCTGCACTCGACGAAGCTTCAGAAATCGAAGAGGCGCCTGCTCAGAAATCGAAGAGGCGTTTGCTTTCTCAAAAGCTGGGCTGCTTAGAGATCACGAGGGTTGATCTCAGAAATCGAAGAGGCGTTTGCTTTCTCAAAAGTTGGGCTGCTCAAAGACCACGAAGGCCGATCTCAAAAATCGAAGAGGCGCTCGCTTTCTCAAAAGCTGGGCTCCCCAGAGACCACGAGGGCCGATCTCAGAAATCGAAGAGGCACCTACTTTTCCAGCCTTTTCCAGCCTTGTCAGCACCTGTCACACGCACACTCAGTTTTGTGGAAATTATGGGCATTCTGTCAAAGACTTCTGGGGAAGTAGAAAACACATGAATCTTACTGTTCAATCACCCACTTCCCACACGCAACAATAGCTCATGGGTACCACAGATAACTTTGCCAAAGTTCTCTGCCAAAGTTGAGCACGTGAAGCTTGCAGCTCCCACTACATCGCTCTGACCAAGAAAGGTAAAAGAATAGCAAAGAAACAGCACTAACAAAAGTTTAGACACATAAATTTTGAAGGTCTAGCTACCATATTATTACCCACAACTGTAAAGGAACAGTACCACTGCTGGATAATTGGAAAGTCCCTGTGTGTCAACCTCTGTGCTTCGTGGCAAGGTAGACTAGCAAACATGCCCAACCTTTACTCACATTCGAGAAAACACTCCCAATAAGATTGCTTGCTCCAAAATCGAAGAGGCACCGTCCTCCGAATCTCGAGAGCCAGACTCCCAACATGACTACTTTCTCAAAATCGAAGAGAGGGTAAAGGAACAGTACCATTGCTGGATAATTGGAAAGTCCCTGTGTGTCAACCTTTGTGCTTCGTGGCAAGGTAGACTAGCAAACATGCCCAACCTTTACTCACATTCGAGACAAACACTCCCAACAAGATTGCTTGCTCCAAAATCGAAGAGGCACCGCCCTCCGAATCTCGAGAGCCAGACTCCCAACATGATTACTTCCTCAAAAATCGAAGAGACACTGCTCTCCGAATCTCGAGAGTCATACCCCCAGCATGATTGCTTTCTCAAAAATCGAAGAGGCATCGTTCTCCGAATCTCGAGAGCCAGATACCACAGACCACTTTTTCAAAGTGCTCTGACAGAGTTAAAACATGTGAAACTGGCAGCTCCCACTACCGTGCTATGACCAAGCAGGGTAAAGGAATAGCATTACTACTTGTTGTTAGGGAGACTCCTATATATGTCGACCTCCATCCATCCCCAACGGACAGGCAGACCTGCAAAAATGCTCAACCCTTCATCATATCTGAGAGGGCACTCCCAACGAAGCCTTTCGAAATATTCAGCTTTCTTTCCCCCCGATAATACCTCTGCAAACAAGCTATACTAGAGCAAGAATATCTCATATCATCAGGGTTAAAAGCAAGAGTATCCCCATATCATGCTTTTTCCCTGTCTTTTCTTTTGGCCTTGTTTTTACCTGCAAGACAAGGAGAAAGAGAGCAATCAGTCAGCACTTGGAATCAAGCTCCTAGCCAGGAACTGACTGCCTGGAACCCCTTACCTGATTACTTACCTGGCATTGCTCTCGAATACTCATCTTCAACATCTTATGTTTCCAGGGAAGATTCCGCATCTGCTTGAGGAACAGATAGGGCAAGTGCGAAGGATACAAGGAAGCATGTGGAGACAAGCGTAACAGCACACGTGCCGATACATTCATTACTCTGTCAAAAGCAAAAGTATCCCATATCAGCAGGGTGGAACGTACTCTAGATTTGATGGACTTGTTTTGACCCTCAAATTCTTCAGTCGGCCTTATACTCTGGAGGAAACCAGAAAACCCTCCAGCTCAGTTCAAGAATAAGCCTGTGGAAAGTTACTTCTTCAAAAGCAAAAGTATCTCATATCATCTCTTCTCATTTTTCTTCTCTTTATCCTTCATGCTGCTGCAAGATGGGGAGAAGGTGAACAATCAGTCGGAGCTCTGATTGCTTACCTTGTCTGTCACCTCTTTCAGCAGACCCCCTAGCTCGGCGACTTGGGGGACTCCTACTACATGGTTTGTATCGCGCTTGACCAAGCCTGAAACTACAAGTAAGCTTCAAGTGAAATTGATACATTACCTTGTGCATCTCCACCAGTTAAAGATACCACCCCTGGATGGAGGAAGAGTACTTCCAGAGAAGATGCCACATCTACCTATGAGACAGATAAGGCAAGTCAAGACGACACCACACTCCGATACTTAGAAGTTTCGTGACTACGAGATCATTCTCCCACAATATTTCCTAATGTCATTTGTACTAAATCATTCACTTGTACTCACTAAATGAGAGCTTGAACCTATGTACTTGTGTAAACCCTTCACAATTAATGAGAACTCTTCTATTCCGTGGACGTAGCCAATCTGGGTGAACCACGTACATCTTGTGTTTGCTTTCCTATCTCTATCCATTTATATACTTATCCACACTAATGACCGGAGCAATCTAGCGAAGATCACAAAAAGCGATCGTTTTCGCTACCTAGGATCTATCTTGCAAGAGAACGGAGAATTAGATGGAGATCTCAACCATAGAATACACGAGCTGGATGGAAAGAGTGCATCCGGCGTGTTGTGTGACCGTCGTAGGCCACTGAAGCTCAAGGGAAAATTTTATAGGACGGCAATAAGGCTAGCGATGTTGTATGGCACAGAATGTTGGGTGGTGAAGCATCAACACGTACACAAAATGGGTGTAGCGGAGATGAGGATGCTTCGTGGGATGTGTGGGCACACGAGAAAGGATAAGATTGGGAATGAGGATATCCGAGGTAAAGTAGGAGTAGCCGAAATTGTAGGAAATATGAGAGAAAATCGGCTCCGGTGATTTTGAACATGTGCAAAGAAGGCCGACTGACGCTCCGGTTCGAAGATGTGACTACGGGACAGAGGTTCAGGGCCGAAGGGGTAGAGGAAGACCTAGGACAACTTTGGAAGAGACTCTAAGAAAAGACTTAGAGTACTTGGATCTAACGGAGGACATGACACAAAACCGAGCGCAATGGCGTTCTAGGATTCATATAGCCGACCCCACTTAGTGGGAAAAGGCTTTGTTGTTGTTGTTGTTGTTGTTGTAGTTAAGTATGTTAGTGTGATCGAGTCTATAAATTTAATCTTATCGTTGAATGATCTGTATGGAAGTATTTGATATTCTTTTTTCGAAATGTTGTTGTTTATACGGTTGAATGCTATATGCAGTTTAATTGTGGAATCTTTGAAGGTAGATAGCTTGCAAAGACTTTGTTTACAGAAGATGATTCAAATGTTTAGTATATTGGAATTTCATAGTTGGGGCACGCATAACTGCTAGACGATGGACAGAACAATTTAACTAAAATCCTTGATCATACTCACTTGGTTAAATTTAAACCAATTAGTTATGCGTCGTCAAAAGTACGGTGTCAAAACTAGTTATGTGTCATGAAAAGTATGGTACCCAAACTAGTTTTCAGAATGATTTTCCAGACAAGGAAAACTAGAAGCTCATATCAGGAGTTCTTTTACTTGCATAAACCTAAACAACTTAACATTAGGGCATCAAAGTCCTTCTTCAATGCATTGATAAGATTTCACAAATGTGGACCATGTGTACATATGGGTCAAATTTGGGGCTTAACCCAGTACACAAAATTGGACATGTTAACTTATTTCTGTGGGCCAAAAGAAAAGAAACAAGAATTGTACAACAAAAGGGCTCAAGGATGTCCTTGTGAAAGTGTGATAATTTATTATATTTTCTTATATTTAATGCTGAGAAAATTGTGTAAACTCCTTCATATCAATGTGATGGGCTTGTCAAAAGTTACTACGTATGAAAATTTTGTTCGGCTGAAAAAAATTATATCAAACTTTGTCGAGTTGTTCTGTATGATGCTTACTTTCTTGCTTTTTTCTCAACTGCAGTGGTGCTGGAGCTCAGTTATTTAGATCCTGGGCAACATATATAAATCGTTCCATTTCTCACCCGAGGTATTTCCCTATTCCAGCTTAGCTTTTATGCTTCTACAAGTTTTGTAGTGTTAATGATTGGCTAAAATTATCAGTTAATAGATTCTTTTTTATTGACATGCTTATATATTTTTCATCCTTGCATGGCAGCCATTGCCATAGACATTCAATTGTCTCGCAGCTCAACTTATAATATACATATTGTGTGACACAATAAGTCCATATTTCGGTGTTGCGTGCTTAGTCTTCAGTGCTCTGAAGAGGGCCTTTTCAGCTCCAAGAATCTGAACTATGCTCCCAGGCTGCTTTGCAAGGTTCAACAAGCTACCACCATGGGAAATGGGGTGAGCACCGACGAGCTCTCCAACAAGAGCAGTCAAATTTGGTGCAACGGTGTTCATCCTATTTTTCAAATAGTCATATAGCTGAGCTCTGTACTCAGAGAGAGAAAGGACTTGGTCACGGAGTGCTTTGATGTTCATCAAATCAAGATCGCTAACTTCTGTATTTAACTCTTTATCGAACCCTCATTGCATATGTATTTAACTCTTTATCGAACCCTCATTCATACAGTATAGAAAACTGACTGAGCATCATTTCCGGTAACTTAACTTTCATTTTACTGAGTTCAGTAAATCAGTCCCTTACCAACATCAAGTAAGAAAAACCAACAAACTGATCATATGTTTTCTTGCTGTTCTACGACAAGCATGCAGAAGAGTAAAAAAACATTGCAGGCAACAAATAGAAACGAGAAGCTTACATAGCTAGCCGTGATTGATGACTAAAGGAAACGAGACATTAAACCAAACTATAGTTCATAATCCCAGAAACAATGTAAGCATCTGGTCATTAATTAACCAATTAAACCAAACCATCTGGTAGAAAGCTTTAGGATTTACTCTGGGGAAGAGCCTTGGTAAGGGGTTCTGCGACAGGAAGCTTGATAAAAAATGACCTTAGTGAGAACTCCAGGTCAGCTTCTTCCACCCTCGAGCCATGCGATTGATTCACACTGAGCTTAAACATAAATCTTTCCACAGGGATGTTGTCCCCGTCAAAGAAAATAACAGCTACTCTCTCCACGAGACCCTAGTTTGTAAGATGTATTCTCTGTCTCAGTGAAAATGTTCTTTAAGTGGAAAAACAAATAAAAACATACAGAAAAAGTGGCAAAACTTTGGTTCAAGTAGAAACACATTCTTCAAACTTTTCACCCAATTTGGTTGCAAATCATTTCTAAGCAAAGATGATAAGCTCATGTATAAAAAAAGTTTTAGAAGAAATAAATAAGTAAAGGAGCAATCATTTGGATAAAAGGAAGAAGTCCCGAGACAGCGGAATGGATGTAATCTCTGAATTCAGGGTGACGAGCTCTATGAACCACCAAATTCATATATTTCCTTCTTTCAAAAGCACCTTTACCAAAACACACCAAGTATCAGAGTCTATCAGTAAATATCAGTTCATAATGTAAAAGATGCAATTACCCATTATTCCACTAAGTCTCGTATGCAACTTGCGTAAGGATTTTAGTTGAGAAAATGGGGTTTTGCTTTCTCGGTAGGGTAATAAAGCAAAACAGAACCCAATACCATAATTTTCTCAGCAACCAAACAAGAAAATGTGGGGTGGGTGGGATAGGATTGAATGGAGGATTAGAAGAAGAAACCTGGAGGGTAAATTCCTTTGAGGAAAACGACTGAAGTGATTGCAACCTCCAGGAATTCCACCAGAATCCGAGCTATCTCACCTGCACTATTTCAATTCGAATTAAGGAAACTGATTTATCAAAACCGAAAATTGAAACCGTTTGAGAAGTAAAGAGAGAAGAATGAAGAAGAAGAAAGAAAAAAAAAAGGGGGGGATTTTGCACAAATCCAACTGAATGAAGAGCAAAAAGAAGAAAAAAAAAAATTGTTCCGTCCCGTCCCAAACATTGTACCAAACAACAGGCGGAACAGGGTAAGTAGTTTTAATGTTTTGGTTCTGTTCCGTCCTGCGCGTACCAAACGCAAAACGGAACAATTTTCCCGTTTTGTCCTACGCATACCAACCATCACATGGAACCACTATTCCGTCCCGTCCCGTTCTGTCCCGTCCCATCCCGTCCCGTCTACGTACCAAACGCACCCTAAAGGCACACGAATGAGAAACGCATGGGCTGGGAGGACAAAACCGTCATTTTACTGTGAAAAAAAAAAACTGAACACCAATTGGGGGGCATTTTCGTCCGCGCACTGTCCGTGAACTTGGGTTTTAGTTAGGCTTGGCATTTTGGACCGAACTCGTTAACCCGACCCAACCCGTTAATATTTGTATTTGGGTGAATGCTTAACGGGTTGGGTCGCTAACGGGTCACTTTGGGTCAACCTGTTAGACCCGTTAGAACCCGTTAACACCCGTTAGCACCCGTTAGTTGAGGATATTTTAGTAATTTTAGTAAAGTCTTAATAACAAAAAATAAACTTTATGCAAAAAAAAATTATAATTGTTAAAGGGTGTTAACAAGTGAAACGGGTCGGGTTTGGGTGACCCGTTAGCTTAACGGGTTGGGTTCAAGTGACCCATTAACTTAACAGGTCGGGTTGAACCCGACCCAAACCCAATAAACCCGACCCGTTTACAGGTCTAGTTTTAGTATATAGATAATATAATTTTATTGGTTGTTAATGGGACCCAAGGGTTAAAAATTAAATTAAATATATTTAACTCATTTTTTGTTTGCTGTAAAAAAGGCAGCTAGAAGCAAGGAGTCAAATGACTCACATGCCACATCATATATGGCATATCCATTGGAGAACACTTAAATGTCTTATAATCCTATTTGGCATATTTGACATCTTCTTTGGAGATGGTCTTATGAAAGCAATTTCTTCATATGAATGCATAAGGGGTGATAATTTGGGTTATAAGCCACACAAAGAATTAGTCATAATAATTTAGTATTGAACTTGTTATTTGTAGGAGTCAAACTAGTTAAGACCTCCCGCTTTCTAATAGACAAAAATATTATTGAACCATATTGCTAGTAGCAATTAATGACTTAAACTTTCACTTTAACTATTTCGTTAAACTTTCATTATCTTGGCTTGTTCCTCCGTACGTGTTACGTACCATACGTCTTCGCCCCTCTCTTTTCACGTTCTCACACCCACATTGATTATACATATTAGGACCAAGAATGCATTGTATTTATTACTCGGCCAGGAAATCTGATCTCCAGGATGGCATTTACCCTTCTATAAAATGATCGACATTCGTATTTGTTTCGCCAGACTCCAATGATGTCACAGATATTCGAGTAATTCCTCTTTTCACTGCTCGGTGCTTTTGCTCTTATGCTCTTGGTTCATGCTCAGGATGATCAATCAGGTATATGAATATCTACAACAAAAAAATGTGATCACAACATATATATTAAATACCTGCAATGCATCCCTTGTAACGTTGTGTTTTTTTTTTTTTTTTGTTACAGGCTTCGTTAGCATAGACTGCGGCCTACCAGAAGGTTCGAGCTATATCGAAAAGACAACGTTCGTTAAGTATATTTCAGACGCCAACTACATAGACAGTGGTGAAAGTAAGTTCCTATTGCCAGATCAAAGAGGTCGAAAGATCAACCGTATGTTGGAAGTTTTAAGACTCTTGTCCCACATTGGAGAAAACAAGATTCTCAAGAGCCTTTATATAGATTTAATGCTTTAGTCTAGTAATTACAACATGGGCCATTTGGAAATTGATTGAAAGCTTGGGCTTTATAGTTGTGTGGATTAGGCTTGTATAATATAGCCTAAATACAATTAATATTAATTAATCAAGACAAGGGCCTTGGGGTTGCCATATGAATTATGGAAAGGAAGAACTCCAACGTTTAAATTGCTTAAAGTGTGGGGTTGCCTTGCAAAAGTACAAGTTCCATTGCCAAAGAGAACAAAATTAGGGCCTAAAACTATAGATTGTGTTTTTATTGGTTTTGCATCTAATAGTTCAGCTTATAGATTCTTAGTTTTTCATTCCAAAGTAAGTGATATACATGTCAATATTAATATAGAATCTATAAATGAAATATTTTTTTAGGATATTTTTCCATACAAAATAGGCAAGTCCAATTTATTGAAAAAGAGATTACATGATGATGTATCTGAGGTTACTAACGAACCTAGAGAACATGATGATGTTCAACCTCGTCTAGAGTTCAAGAAGAAGAAGAACTTGAACCTAGAAGAAGTAAAAGGTCAAAAATTCGAAAGGACTTTGGGCCTGATTTTGTGACCTTATTAACCGAGACAGAACCTCAATCATTTAAGGAGGCCATGTCCACTCCTGAAAGCTCCATTTTGGAAGGATGCAGTCAACAGTGAGATAGATTCTATTATGCAAAATCATACATGGGAATTAGTCGATTTGCTCCCTGGCAATAAGCCAATTGGGTACAAATGGATCTTTAAGAAGAAATTAAAATCAGATGGTACAATTGACAAATATAAGGCTCGTTTGGTAGCTAAAGGATACCATCAAAAACATGGTTTGGATTTCTTTGATACATACTCACCTGTAACGAGAATTACTTCAATAAGACTATTGATTGCTATAGCTGCACTCCATAACATGGAAATACATCAAATGGATATAAAGACTGCGTTCTTGAATGGAGACTTAGATGAGGAAATATATATGGAACAGCCCGAGGGGTTTGTAGTTAAAGGTAAAGAACACAAAGTGTGTAAACTTGTGAAATCGCTATATGGGCTTAAACAAGCTCCAAAGCAATGGCATGAAAAATTTGACCATGTTATGATCACACATGGTTTTAAGATAAATGAGTGTGATAAGTGTGTCTACACAAAAACTCAAAATAATGCTTGCGTTATGTTGTGTTTATATGTAGATGATATGCTTATAATGGGAACTAACAAAGAGATAATAAATTGGGTAAAGTACAAAAAACTACTTTAACTATTGGTGTCACGACACTTTCATACCTCATCTTTTAAAATTGACAATGTCATACCTCATCTTACGAATTTGTGCCAATGTCATACCTTCCGTCAGTTGTCTGTCAATTCCCCAGTTAAATGTTGACGTGGCTTGTGATGTGGCACACTTTATATTAAAAAAACTAATAAAATATTATTAAAAAATAATTAAATATATTTTTAATAATTAAATATTCCAAAAAAAAAAAAAAAAAAAACCCAATTTCGTTCGTACACCCCACCCCTTGCAACCTAGAAAGGAAGAAGAAGAGGAAGAGGAGGAAGAAGAAGAAGGAAGGAAGAAAAAAAAAATATTTGTCCCCCCCCCCACGCCCTGCAACCCAGAAAGGAAGAAGAAGGAAGAAAGAAAGAAAAAAAAAATCGTCCCCCCTGCAACCTAGAAAGCAAGGAAGAAGAAGAAGAAGAAGAAGAGGAGGAAGATGAAGAAGAAGAAGGAAGAAAGAAAAAAAAAACTCCCCCCACCCCCTGCAACCCAGAAAGGAAAGAAGAAGAAGAAAATGAGGAAGAAGAAGAAGAAGGAAGAAAGAAAAAAAAACAAAAATCATGCCCCCAACCCCCTGCAACCCAGAAGAAGAAGAAGAAGAAGAAGAAGAAGAAGAAGAAGAAGAAGAAGAAGTAGTGCGGGTGGAGGAAAGGGAAGGCCGGATCCCTTAAACTTTTTTTTTTTTTCTGAATATTTAATTATTAAAATATATATTTAATTATTTTTAATAATATTTTATTAGTTTTTTAATATAAAGTGTGCCACGTCACAAGCCACGTCAACATTTAACTGAGGAATTGACAAACAATTGACGGAAGGTATGACATTGGCACAAATTCGTAAGATAAGGTATGACATTGTCAATTTTAAAAGATAAGGTATGAAAGTGTTGTGACACCAATAATTAAGGTAGTTTTTTGTACTTTACCCTAATAAATTGGACCAAGAAGATATTGAAATCAAATTTCGATATGAAAGATCTTGGACTAGCTTATGTGATTCTTGGTGTAAAAATAAAAAGAAACCAAGAAGGATATATTCTTACTCAGTCCCATTATATAGAAGCTACACTTAGGAAATATGGTCATTTGGAAAGTAAAGATGCAATTACTCCTTTTGATGCCAATAGCAAACTTAAGAAAAATAAAGGTGATGCTATATCTCAACGTGAATACTCACACGTTATTGGAAGCCTTATGTACATTATGAACTATACAAGGCCTGATATAGCATACTCCGTAAGTAGATTGAGTAGATATACATGCAATCCTGGGCATGATCATTGGGCATCTTTAATTCGAGTTTTGAGATACTTAAAGCATACAATGAATTATGGATTGCATTATACGAGGTATCCTCCTGTGCTTGAAGGATTTACTTATGCGAATTGGATATCGGATAGTACTGATACGAAATCCACAAGTGGATATGTATTTACTTTGGGAGGAGCAGCAATATCTTGGAAATCTTCCAAACAAACATGCATAGCCCGATCAACTATGGAATCGGAATTTATAGCTCTCGATATGGCTGAATGAGAAGCTGAGTGGCTAAGAGATTTTTTGGAAGATGTTCCCATATGGCCTAAACCTGTAACAGCAATATGTATACACAGTGATAGTTTAGCTGCACAATATCGAGCTAAAAATAGTGTATACAATGGGAAGTCTAGACAAATTAAACAAAGGCATAATACAATAAAGCAATGGCTCTCTAGTGGTGTAATTTCTATTGACTATGTCAAGTCAAATGATAATATTGCTGATCCGCTTACTAAAGGCTTATCTAGAGAGCAAGTTAAGCATACATCGAGGGGAATGAGTTTAAGGCCAACAGAGTAAAATGAAATTGCTAAACGGAAACCTAACCTAGTTGATTGGAGATCCCATGGTCTAGGTTCAATAGGCAAACTAGTTTGGCTAGATTCAAGAAGAAACAC